CTGATCAGCTGTTTGTCGGCTCAGCGCGGCAGCCATGTAAATTTAAATGAAGCGGCGATTATTTAAATCGCCGCTTCATTTTCCTATGCCTGGTAGCCTAATCTACATGCCTCTGGCGACAGAGGCATGTAGTCTAGACGTACCCTTAGGGTAGGCAAGACTTCAGCCTCTACTCTGGCCCTCTGCTCCCCATAACTTTCCAGAATTATGGATGGCTATTTCAACATTTTTTTTCTCATTGCCAGTTTCATCCTATGCATGACACTAAAATATCCTTTGACTTATCCATCAGGAGGTAGCCATGCACTTTTAACCTAACATCATTGTTAATCCCTTTAGGTCCCTTTGATCTGCATGTTGTAATCTGCACATATTTGTTTGGGATAAAATAAGCTTTGTGAGACCAATAGCAAGGGTTTCTGATTGGTTTAAGTACGTTTCATATCAACTAACTATTGTCATGTTTTATTTCCATCCAAATCATGTGTTGAAGTGGGGTTTATCCACAAAAGCTCATGATCCTATACATTTTTGTTAGTCTCTAAGCCCTGGTCTACACTAGGGAGTTATTTCGAAATAACAAGCAGAGCATCCCCACTACCAAGCCTGTTGTTTCAAAATAAGGGGCTGGTTATTTCAAAATAATAACTCCCACTTTCCTTGAGGCATAGTCTTATATTGAAATAGTTATTTCAGGAGTTATTAGTTCAAAGTAAGTTATTTTGAAATACTTTCCTAATGTAGACATGCCCTAAGGTGCCACAGGACTACTCATTTTTAAAGTTACAGACTAATACCGCTACCTCTCTGAGATGTTCTATTAGTAAAAAGAGCACTATTCTTAGTCATCCTATACTTTTTAAGTAATATATTAAGTATATATTCAATGTGTGTTCCAATATCCATTTCTTTCAGCCTTAGAAGCCCAAGCGGGTCATCTAGCCAAATTACAGACGCTAGACCTGAGTTATAATGACAGGGTTTCTGATGAAGGATGGGCCACTTTCTTTCAAGGCTTAATTGCACTCACAGAACTTTCAGAGTTGGACATCAGTCTTCGGCCATCATCTTGTCATGACTGTGGAATGTGGTTCAGCAAGTTATTAACAGATTTGTTAAAGCTGCCTGCATTCAGAGAGATAGGCATGCAAAGGTGGGTCCTTTCAGAATCACAAGAGAAACAACTGGAAAGTTTTAATCAGGGCAATAAAAGGAATGTTCACTTTGATTATTGATGCAGGCCCTGGGTTTCTGGAAAGATCTTTCCGAGTAGCATGTGAACTATGCATTGTGAGATTTTTGACTCAGAAAATAGTCTATTTTTTACTGGTAAGATGGTTTTTGTCATGTCTGAGGGAATTATGTGTTTGGGAATGTTATTTAATTGTGAAATACACAGATAACTCTATTTGATCACATATAAGAAATATATGGGTGTGTAAGGAAGCTATGTCTTTATTTTATACACATCTATCTGTTTTTAGTAAGCTGTGTTTTAAATATAAGCATCTTCTGCCTCATTTGTGCTAATTTAGTGCTGCACAGATTTTGGTCTTCAGAGGAACCCATATATATTTGCTGGGGTGGTGGGTGACCCCATGGCTTGGGGAGGTAAGATCTCCCAGCCCTGCCCATTAGAGTCCATGCTTTCCCCCCACAGTGTGTGTTTGGGTCCAGCTGAAACAAGTTATAGGATTGGTGGGGGCTCTTCCTGCTTATCTGAAGGTCTGCTTCAGCTTCTAGAGCAGCCTTTATTGCCCCGTACTCAGGCAATACCTTCTGTGTTGCCTGTCTCAGTAGGTACAGCCAAGGAGTGTAGCCATTAGCATGAGGATCTGATCCACTGTTCATTGAAAACAATGGGAATCTGTGAAGCAGTATGTTCCCCATACCAGCCCTAAGAGTGAAATTATGACAGGTTGGCCCAATCTATCAATTAAGCTCCAAATGGGAGGTTTTGATTCCTTAGGTTCCACAAATTAGGAAGAAGCTTACCTGGAAAGGAAGAGGCAGGGCTACTGTAAAGTCAGGAAACTGGTACCCAGGGAAGTTTGTACACCTCCCTGAGGTAAGGGAGAAGCAGCAGCCTGAGAGAAAGGGGTCTAGGGAAGGGGTTTTTAAACTTGAATCACAGACCTGCCAGGGTGGGCCTGCAACACTTTGTTTACTCTAAAGCTCCGCAGCCATGGAACCTTGCAGCTCCCATTGGCTGCAATTTGCCATTTCTAGCTAAAGGGAGATGCAGGAAGTAGCATCCCAGTCTGTGCCGCTTCCCACAGCTCCCCTTGGCTGGAAATGGCAAACCGCAGCCAATGGGAGCTACAAGGTTCCATGGCTGTGGAGCTGTAGAGTAAACAAAATATCACAGGTTGGAATGGGGCTTTCCCTTGTAGGGCTGTGACCCAAGTTTGAAAACCCCTGGTCTAGAGATGAGAGCAGTAAGATAGGGGTAGACACAGACCTTAATGGCTTGGTACTAGGCCCAGAACTGGAATCCAGAGGAGAGGGTTGGCATGGGTTCCCCTATCATCTACCGCAGAGTGGTGCTGCTAGGGGCAGTGAATGGGGAAACTACCAGAGTTGCTATAGGAGTAACCTAGTCAAGGTAGCAAGTGTGAGGTCCCGCCTGATTCTGTACATGGACAGAGACCTTGAGAAACTACCTTAGAAGGGAAATTATGATGTGAGCTGTCCAGTGGGCTGATTCACAAAGCAGCTATACTGCAAGTCTGTGGAGTGGGAGGAGAGTGGAATGTGGGAAGAAGAGAAAATCATAGCAGTGCTGAACTAGGCTGGATCTAAATGCTAGTGGGATGTACCACCCAGCGGTGAGTAGAGCACAGACCCCTTCCCCCCTCCTCCCCGGCTCCATGACAGAGTCCTCCTAGTGACTCTTTGACAGGGGTGCTGGAATGGTAGGAGTTTTTACTGGCTGTAAGGGTAAGTGACAGGTGAAGCCTTGGGTGGAAGGGTGCTCATGGTCTCCCCACTCTTAGGCTACAGCTACACTGTAGTCTTCTTCCGGAAAAGCTTATACAAATGAAGCATGGCATGGAATATCGCCGTGCTTCATTTGAATAATTAATTAGCAGCCACTTTTGCAGAAGAAGCTTTTGCACAAAAAGAAGCTGAGTAGACTGCTCCTTTTTGCACAACCCCCCCCCCCCTTCCACAAAAGCCATTCTTCCTCATTTTTTCAGGAAAAATGTTTACTCCTTTACATAATAACAGTACATGGAGTTGAAATTAATAGGCAACAGGTTTAAAAACAAACAAAGAGAAGTCCTACTTGATGCAATGCACAGTCAACCTGTGGAACTCTTTGCTAGGGGATGTGGTAAAGGCCAAAATGACAACACATTCCTGGAGGATAGGTCCATCAGTGGCTAATAGCCCAGGATGAGCAGGCATGCAATGCATGTATAGGTGTCCCTAGCCTCTGTTTCCCAGAAGCTGGGAGTAGGCTGTGAGTGTTCATTCCCTCTGAAGCACCTGGCACTGGCCACTGTCAGAAGATAGGAAGAATACTGAGCTAGATGGACCATTGGTCTGACCCAGTATGGCCAGCCATTTTTATGAAAGTAAGACCATTCTCATTACAGAAGACATGAATTTTAAAGCATTTAGGGTACGTCTACACTACGTTTTTTCAAAAGGAGATACGCATATTAGCGCCAAATTTGCATACCTTCCAAATGCTTTTTCGAAAGTGAAAGTAGTCTGGATGCAGGGGGGGAGGGGTTTGAGAAGATATTTCGAAAAAACCATTCTTCCTAAAAAAAAAGGAGGTTTATACGGTTTTTCGAAAAAGGGATTTTTCCCTCCAAAAAACACGTCCAGACTTCTTTCACTTTCAAAAAACCCGCTTTCGAAAAAGTGATGGGAAGATATGCAAATTAGCACCAAATTTGCATATCATCTTTCAGAAAAAGACGTAGTCTAGATGTACCCCTGGTCAGCACAAAGCTCTGCAGATACAATTTGCTTTCAGTTAGTCAATTGCCCTTGTGCTTTGCAATCATATATATTATTTTATCATCTAACCTAATTTAATTGAAATAATTTTGACACATGAACAAAACTGGCCATAAAACACCCTACATTATATTTTAATTTTAATAATCACTGTTCTGGAAATATTAATGTTGATTATCCCTTATTTTCTTGCTTCTCTCTGTATCTACCCACCTATGTAGAAGGGCTCTAAACAGTTTGATGTACAAGTCATATAGAGAAGTATTACTTTTTGCCCTTTGTGCCTTTGCCTGGCTTTTCTTTTCCCTTTTCTTTTCCTTTCTTTCCTTTCTTTAACAGTTTTTGAAGCTCAGCAAAATTTCCAAGCCCCTTCCTCACCATCTGCCCACGCCACCAAGCCTGGATCTGAAAGAGAGGATGGAACAATACTGTTATCTAGAAGAGAAAAGAACGACTTCAAACAATTGAACTGAGAACTATGTCTGCTAGTATTGATGCAAAAAGCTGAACGCATTGGGGGTCTGCGTGAGTAAACCAGAGGACCTACTAACCAAATAAATAATGTTTTCTAGATTATTTCCACAGTATTTCCCATTGTTCTTTCAACTCTTTTGTCAAGAGCTTTAAATGAAGAGAAGTCTTCTTTCCAATTTTAAATGTTAATACAGGTTGGACCTCTCTGGTCGAGCACCCTCGGGACCAAACTGAGGGAATTGCTACTGGCCCCCTGCCTCACTGCCCTTCCCCGCTACTGGCCATAGCCATCCCCTGCTGGGTTCCGTGCTGCTGTGCTCCTGGCGGCCTGGACTGCCATATCCCTAGTCCAGCTATCGGGGCTGCCACATCCTTGGCTCTGGCCTTGCTACTGGAGCTGCTGCAGCTGCCACATCCCCAGTCCTGGCTCCACTATTGGGGCTGTCACAGCTGCTGTGTGCCCGGTTCTGTTAGTGGGGCTGCTACAGCCTCAGCTGTGTTACCTGTGCCACCAGCCTTCTTGCCTCTGGAACTCCCAGCCAGGACTCCTGGGTCCAGGAACATCCATGGTCCTGCCAGACCACGGAAGTTGCCAGACGAGAGAGTCATGGTTTTGGGAGGTCCAACCTGTATTTGGCTTTTACATTAGCCCGTGTACCTACAAGCAATTTGGACCTAACTAATCGTATTAGATGGAGTCCAGAGAAAGGGAAGTGGTTTCCTTTCAGTTGGGTAGTAAATAACTGCAGGAAGGAAAGAATTTGAAGTATGAGAGAATCAGGAACTGAGGACCTGCCCCTTGTTCCTCATTCCCATCTTTTGAGCAAAATGACTCTGCTGCCCACTGGTGCTGTAGACTTAGCTTCTAATAACCATCTAAGGCAGTGATACTCAAATCTCCATGGTTCAGGAGCCAAATTAGCAATCAGCATTATCCAAAAGAGCCACGTTAGTACGAATAGAGATGTGAACGACCAGTCAACTAGTCAACTATCTGATAAGCAAATGCTTATCAGATAGTTGACATGCTAGTCAACTAATTACTTCCTCCCACCCCCTCGTTGCTGCCTCTGTCAGAAAGAGGCAGTAAAGGGCGGGGAGAGTAGTGTTTCAAAGAGGCAGCACTGCATGGATCCCGGGGTCTACTGCTTTGAAATGCTGCATGCAACCTGGGGAGTCTACTGCTTTGAAACACCACAGGGAGTCCCCAGCTGACCCCAGGCTTCACACGGTGCTGCCACTATGAAACGCCACGGGGACCATGGGGCCAGCAGGGGACTGTTTGAGTCCCTTACTGGCCCCATGCTCCCTGCAGCACTTTCGCCTTTGAAGTGTAGCAACAGCTCTGGGGCTGTCGCTATACTTCAATGGTGGAAGCACCCTTATCAACTGATCGAACAATTGATAAAATTGCATCAACTCTTCGATTAGTCAATTAATCGAAATTTTACATCTCTAAGTGTGAATTCATTTCATTTTATATATATTACAGCAAAATGACTGACCAAGTATTCTACAGTTGGCTAATACAGTAAAAGCATCCTGATTGGTTGTTAGTTATGTCAATGTTTCAATATGTCCCACAAAGAGCAGCAAGAGACATAAAGAGTCACTTAGGGCAGGTCTACGCTGGCGAGTTATTTTGGAATAACTCCATTTATACTGAAATAACAAGGTGAGTATCCATACTACCAAGCCTGTTGTTTCAAACTAATGGGCTTGTTATTTCAAAATAATTTACTCTTGCTTGTGAAGAGGAAAAAGCTTATCTCGAAACAGTTATTTTGGGAGTTATTATTTTGAAATAACCTGGTAGTGCGGACATATCCTTAAAGAGCCATTTGCAGCTCCTAAGCCTCAGCCTGAAGCCAGGTCTATACTAGAGGAGAAAGTCAACTTAAGATATGCAACTTCAGTATGTGTGTGTGCAATAAGTCGACATACGTTAGGTCAAATTTACACAGCATCCCCACTGGGAGATGTTCTCCCATCGACTTCCCTTCCTCCTCATGATGCAATGGAGTATTGGAGTTGATGGGGGTGCCATCAGTGGTTGATTTAGCAGGTTCTTACTAGATCTAGAGATGTTAAATTGCAGATAATCAGCTAATCGAGTAATCAATGGAATTTCTGTCAACTACTCGATTAGTCAATATGGGGATGCTCGCTAACCCTGCTGCGGCTCTACATTTTAAATGTAGTAGGAGCTAGACTCTTACCATATTTAAAATGCAGAGCCATAATAGCCCTGGGGGCGGCACAAGTCAGGACTGCTTAGACCTGGCTCGTGCTGGCCCCAGAAGCTACTTGCACTGTGGCTCTGCACTTCAAATGTAAAATGTAGAGCTGCAGCAGGGATAGCTTCCAGGGCTAACGTGAGCTGGGACTAAGCAGTCCCAGCTTGCCCAGGCTCTGGGTCTGCTGTGGCTCTGCTTCTCCTGCCCCCTTCCTCCTGCACTGTGCTGGGGGGGAAGTGGCTTTAAAGCCGGCTCCCCCTATCATTGGCTCCTGCGTCCCTCCCTACCACCTTACTGCCTCTGACACAGAGGCAGCAATGGGGTGGGGAAGTGAATAGTCAACTCGACTACCCGATAAGCATAGGCTTATCAGGTAGTCAACTAGTCAACTGTTTCCTTACATCCCTAACTAGATCCACTAAATTGAACCCCAGAAGATCAAGCTCCACAGTCTCAATCTCTGGAGAAGTGGAGATAAGCCCCAAGTACAACTGATTAAGGGCTATTCTGGGCTGACTCTCTGTGCCCCCAAACTCTACAATTTTGGGACTAGAGAATGCAGTTCATAGCTTCTTCCCCAATGCAGGCATCTGCACTGTGCATGGACCTAGTGTCCATGCCCCATTTGACAATGAGATAAAAGAGATTCCATAGCACATAATGAGGTATCTGCTGCTTTACTGCCTCATCATAGCGGACACAGAATTTGTAAGGTTATTTCAGGGCCTTGCATAGCATGCCCTATAGAATATTTCTGTGTAAAATACTAGATTACTAATAATGCAGTTTGTGCAGTGTAGTAGATCTCTTATGCCTTGTACCTTTGTAGCCTTGGCCTTTTGATTCCTCTTTTCCCGTAAATACTCCCAGATAGCCACCTTCCCCTGGCTACACACCTCAACTGGAGGATCTGTCATAGGATTCCCATCCAACAAGACAAGATGCAGCTTCTGAAGACTGTCCAAGTTTTCTGGGAGTTGGAACAACTGATTGTTCTGAACAAACAATTTTTGCAAACCTGAAAAAATAAAAATCACAAAACTTCACTGCACAGACTTATAATAATCTGGAGTGTTCCAGTGAACATGCTTACAATAGAACAATAGGTTGCTGGGTGTGAAATATTTACTCTGTGTTTGTAAATATTTCCCAGACCATCAGTATATTGTTTCATTGGATAGTGTAAAGAGCATAGTCCCCAAACACAGAGATATTTTCACAGCACTTCAGTAAAACCAATATGTTTGTTTTAAAGGTGTAATCAAAGATTATTTTTCTACAAAAATGTCAAAAAGAAGGGTGTTACTGCTACTGTACCTTTCTACTTCCACATGAACGGGTTACAAGTTTTTAGGCTTGGGTTCAAGGCAACCGTCAAGAATACAAAACTGTTTTTTCTCCATAATAGGAACTAGAGTGAAGTATTCAATAGAAAACTTAATTTCCTAAATGATACGCCACACTGAGGTGAGTTGCTGGCAATGAGAAACAGACTAGAGAGCTGGTGAACTTAAAGCATGATCCTCTAAGCTTAAAAGACACCTATTAGCCAAGGCTGAATCAGGCTTATTGACCTCTATTTGTGGCCCAACCACCTCTCGGGGAGGAGAGAAAGGCCACATTGAGTGGGTGTGGGTTACATAAACACCACCTACACACTACATCTGTGCTTCATACGCAGGGAAGTTTTCTGAAATAGCAAAATGCTTTCTTGATAAGAAAGACCCAAGAATTGATAATTGTTCTGCTTTGTCATAAATAGACCAATCTGAAAAATTGCACTTATATCTGCAGATCATTAATTTTCCTGGAGTGCATATTGTATCTAAATCTATTCAGTAGGGAAAAGTCTTCAACAGACTATCAAACAATAAAAATTTTTAATAATACAGATTACTCCAACCTAGTCTCTTATTTGGACCAGGAAAAGAGAATGACTGAACAGAGGAAGATTTTTCAACTTTGAAATCCCTGCTTTAAACCTGTCACAAATGCATAGGATATTTTTTCACCTTGTACTTGACATATGGAGTCTGGGAGTTCTTTAAGGAAGTTGTTGTGACAATCAACTATTTCTAAGTTGCTCAGCAAGCCCATAGAAGATGGCAGGTACTCCAGACAATTGTTCTCTAGGTACAGCTCTTTCAGATTCTGGAAAAAAAAATGTGCATGATGTTTAATTTAAAAAAAGAATGTTTCCTTAAGTCGATCATTGAACAATGAACAACTGAACATCAACAAATGCAAAATATAAAAATATGATAAAAGCATTGTTAGGTGCTCAGATACTATGGTAAGGTGTGATATAACTGAATAATTAAGCTCAGAGAACACTGTTAGATGTTTCAAGTGCAGTATGACCTATCAAGGCATGAGGATTTACTTCATTTGCCATGGTTCATAGTCATGCACATGCACTCTGTGTGGTCCTTCTGCCAGTCCTGCATTCTAGCAATCTCTTGAAATGTTCAGCGGCTGCTTGGTAGGGGTATGTCTACATAGCAACATTATTCCGAAATAACTATGCAAGCATCTACACAGAAATTCTGTTATTTCTAAATAATTTCGAAATAACGGGCAGCTTATTTCGGCGTTGGTAATCCTCATTCTACGAGGAATAGTTATTTCAGAATAGTGGCTATGTAGACAGGGCAGCTGAAGTTATTGTGGAATAAGGGGCCTCCAGCCCTTCCCATGGTGCCCTACTGGCCACTCTGTCTACACTACAACCCCCACAGCCTCCAACTCCCCTTTCCTGAGGGGCCACCTTATGCAACACTCTCCCCCCTCTCCTGCAGGGACTGTAGCCCAGAAGCACCTTACCTCCTTAAGGAGGGCCCCAATGGTGGATTTCCCAACACTGAACTGGTTGCCCACTGACCGGTAGCTGTTAGGGATGGTAAGCTTCCACAGGGCAATTGCGACCCGCTTCTCCACAGGGATGGCAGGCCGCAGGTGGGTGTCACATCTCTGGAGGGCGTGGGTGAGCCAGGCACACCGAAAAAAGCTTCTTGTGCAAGAAGCCTGTAGTCTAGACGTAGCCAGAGAGGCAAGGAGGGTCTCCAAAATGATCAGAGGGTCGGGTTCCTGCAGGGTCTGGGAGACAACCTGCAGAAACTGCTGCATGAGGTGCAGCACAAGTTGCAATAGCTATCGACAGCCCAGAGACAGCTCCGGCTCCATAGCTGGATAGCTGAGGTGTCTGCAAGGGCAACCACAGCAGGCAAAAGAAAGGCTTTGCTGTCCCTCAAGGTAGGCAAAGGAAAAAAGCCTGAGACACTGATGTACGGGGAATGGGGGGTGGAGGGAGGTGGCGTCCTTTTAAGCAAGAGCCTCAGATTGCCTCAGGCAGCAGCTCCAGGAAGTAACTGCTGTCCTGATGCCCTGCCTGAAATGACCTTAAATGCAATTGAGCATCTAATCGGTGTGGATACTTTATTCTGAAATGGATCAGTGCTATTTCGATGAGCATGTGTTGCATAGATGCGCTATTGCAAAATAAGCTATTTTGGAATGTTGTCAGCCACTCTACATAGGTAAGGTTCCTGTGCTGGGCATGGTGGGCCCACCACTCCCATTCTGACCCCCATCTCCCACAGCCAGAGCCCAAACCACTCCCCCTCCTGGGGTCCTCAGCCCCAGCCTTAGTTGGCCTGAGCCAGCACCCACAGCCCCTGGGCAGTGCAGCCATAGAACACCTATGCTCCATCTCCAAAGCTCGGGTGGCTGGGCAGTGAGGTCACTGCCCCAGTCCTGGGGCTCCAGCAGCCGGGCATCCTGGTCCCCATCGATGCAGCTGAGTATCCCAGTCCCCATCACCTCAGCCAGTCCTGGGGATTCATTGGCTGGGAAACATGGTGGCCATACTCCCAGCCCCGAGCCTTCCCACTCCCCTTGCCCTAAGGTCTCCCACATGCCCCAATCCCCTGCTCTGAGACGGCAGGCTCCTGCCCTGACTCCTGCATCCCCCACATTTCTCCCTTAAACCCCCCCCACCCTGTACTCTGAGCCCCTGCACACCTTCCAAACCCCTGCACTGACTCCTGTACCCTCAACCTCCTACCCTAAGAACCGCATAGATCCCAACTCTTTGCCCTGACTCCCGCAGCCCCCCCTACATAACCATCCCCTACCCTAAGCTCACCCACACCCACTGCAACACCCTTCCCAGAGACCCCAGCACTCCGACCCGCACTTAAATTTCTTACAAGTACTGTCATATCACAATCCCCCAATCTCCACCAGGAGGGGAGGGGGGAAGTTGTGATATGACTGTACCTGTAAGAAATTTAAGTTTTCATCTCTGCTCTGTAGATAGGCAGAGAAAAGGAAAAACATGAATTCCACCTGCAATTGTAAAGTGTCTTATTGCCTAGGGCTTGGTGACTGCTGATCACCTAGTAAAACATGGGTTTAACAATGCTACAACCCTGGTGTAGGGGCCCAACACATTTTATAGGATCAGAAAGATATACATATATAATCTACCCCTTACAAGGTGATGGAGATGATCGACTTTGACTTTAAGACCTTTTTTTTTTTACAAATATTTTACCCAATCCTACCAGCTCTCAATAAGCTCATTTCTGCAAGGCTTTGTGTCCCATTGAATTAAATGGAAGTTTAGTGCACTCAGCCCTGTATGCTGAATTCCATGGAAGTCCATGGAAATTCCATTTGCTGAAAGCCTGCAGGATTGAGTGCCACTCTCTTCAAACAACTTAATTCTTCTGTACTTGTTTGTGATACCAGGCAGAGTTGTTCCTGAGCTCCTCTCCTGCTCTTTTTCTTACCTGCAGTTTGCTGATGTCTTTTGGTAGAGTCGTGAATTTGATCCCTTTATCTTGTCCCAAATATAATTTCTCTAATGACTCAAGGAGAAAGACTTCCTCTGGAAAAACACTGAATCTGTTTCCAGTCAGACCAAGACATTTTAAGTTAGGGAGTCCCGTCACCTCTGGAGGTATCTAGGCATGTTCCAAAACATACAATAAAAACATGTTTATATCCGTTAAATACAATGTTTTATATTTGTTGTTTGTTGTTCTGGGAAACACTCTGCCATGTTGAATCAATGAAGAATATCATGTTGGCTACATTCTATTATATTGCCAAGTTATGGCTGAAATTTTTGCAATATTTCCCTGCTATACTCCCTTGCTGAAAGGTCTCTCTTTGTAAACTGCAATTCTTAGTATATATGTTCTTTCCAAAAGAATGCTGCCAGGAGAATGAATTGTAATGGCTGCTCTTGCACATAGTGATCCCTCTGAAAGTATCTGTGCATTATAAGATAATTTAAGTAAATTAAAGTGTTAAATTGGCATACTTGCTTATTTCACCATTTCCTCAAATGTAGCCCTTGAGGGGGGAAAAAACCGCAAGTCAGTCTCCTGGCAGACAATCACGAAAGGGAAATGTATTTGATTCCCTAAGAGGAAGGCACCCATTATTGTTATTCATATATTGAGAGATTTCAGCTGTAGAATTGTCCCCTAGACTACCATAAGATAATGGATCTAAAAGCAATAACAACTGGTACAGTCATTTTGAGCTTGCCTCCTGCTCTGTTTCAAATAGCATGCCACATTTATTGATAGTAGGCAAATGCAATTTTTATCAGTTAGTTCAGGAAAATATAGGAATAAACAGAACATCTAATCTCTTCACAGCAAGATCCCATATCTAGCTTTGCATTTTTTAGTAGTTTGTTTTTTGGTTCCTTTTTTTCTGACTCAATACCTGCCTCTCAGTGGCAGTTGGTTACAAGAGGGAGTGAGGCTCATAGGATTAGGGAACAAACTCGGTAAACATAATAACTATCAGTAGTTTTATTGCTGTCAATTTTTAATGAAGCTATTGTCACTCGTTCACCCCAGTGGCTTCGAAAATGTGTTATTCTAACAGCTTGCTGCTTTTGGGTAGCATATAACAGTCATGGGCACCACCACTATGGGTGCTCCAGGGCTGGAACACCCATGGGATAAACTGAGTGGGTTCTAAGAACCCATTAGCTGCCAAGCTTCACCCCCTGTCTGTCACCTGCTGGTGGCCCCACTGACGAACTCCTGCCCTTCCCCACCCTCCTACTGCTTCTGGAGCACCACAAACAGCTGATTTGGAAGCTGGGAGAGAGGGAAGGAATAGGCAGGAGGTGTACTCGAGGGAAGAGGTGGTGAAGAGGCAGGGGCAAGGAGAGATGGAGTGGGGGTGAGAGCTTGGGAAGGGGTGAAATAAAGGTGGAGCCTGGGGTAGGAGGGTCGAATACCCTCCCAGTTAGAGGGGAAGTTGGAACCTGTGATGATAGTGTCTGACATCGCAAACAGCTTGTATAGAATGTTCTATAACTGGGGTGGCCAAACCATGGCTCATAAGCCACATGTGGTTATTTTAAAATTAATGCGCAGCTCACAGAGCCAACCTCATCTCCCACACACTTGTTTTACATGTGGTTATTTTAAAATTATGCGCAGCTCACAGAGCCAACCTCATCTCCCACACACTTGTTTTCCACTGGGTGGAGGGAGCTTAGGGTTTCAGCCCCACAACGAGGTGATAGGGTGAAGGGCTTTTGCCTGGTGGATGTGGATCTTGGGGCTTCAGCCCTGTGGGCCGGGCAGAAGTCCTGACCCCCGGTAGGCACCTCCTGCAGTTCAGACGACCCAAGACCCCCACTGCAGGGAAGAAGCACCAATCCCTGGAAGATGCGCTGGGTTCTCAAACTTCTGAAGGTTACTGTGTGCCACTTGGAGGATCAGTAAGTTTGGCCATGCCTGCCTTACAATGAACATTACACAAGCATAAAAACACCCTCTAAGTAATGCACTAATGTACAAGTCTTCCAACGCATATAATTCTTGGCAAATCTAGGATCCCACCCTTAGTGAAGCCCATGCTTTGCACCCTCGACAGGATTGAGGCAATCAAGTACTTAGAAGTGAAAGGATTCTTCATGCCTTGAGATATAGTTTCAAGATTAATGTTAATGTTAAAGGAAAACGGAATAATTCGAAAACTTTAGTTCAATACCATTCGGTAAGTGTGTTAAAGGAGAGAGCTGTAGGTTTCTGAGTAGATTAAAAATTAAGTTGCAAGTCAGCTTTGGTATTGACATTCATTGAAAGGGGCTAGTCAGGACAGTAGGAATTGACAGGTTACCGATATCTAACTCTGTGGCTTGGTGCAAGGTAGCCTAAATCATAGTACCCACAGTGCTGAGCTGTAATGAAGGAGAAATGAGAGAGGGAAGCTAAGTGATATTGATTCTACAACTGCTCTTATCCAGTGACTAATGTGGGTTAGGCCACCTGCACAAAAGACACATCCCTAGACTAGGAAGAGAGAAGGGGTATGACAACAGGAAGTCTCACTGTATGGGAGGTTGGAAACATTTTGACCTTCTGCATTGGGTAGCCCAGACCTCTTCCCTATAAAATAATATTCAGCTGTTATATCCGAAGATCTCAGCACTTTTCAAAGGAAAGTATGTATCATCAGCTCTGTTGAGAGACTGAGGCAAAGAGAAGTGAAGTGACTTGCCGAGGATCACACAGCTAGACAAAATCCTTTGTTTCCTGCTTCCCCAGTTAGTGACATTTCCTTGTGGCTGTTTTGCCTGGCATAAGGATTTCTGGGGTTCCCATGCCTTAGAGCTAAGGTCCCTAGAGCCAAATTATGCAGTTCTTGTACAGAATTGGATTATTATTAGTGCTATGTATTATAATACCTAGGAACGCCACTCATGGGCCAGGACCCCATTATGCCAGATGCTGTACAAACACAGAACAAAAAGATGGATCCTACTCCAAAGAATTTTACTTATGATTATTTCCCTATGTTGCTGAGGTAAGTGTTTCAAACTATTACATTTGAGAAACGTATTAGCCTAGTGAATTTGAAGCATAACTAGAATCCCACACCAAAAATAAAGAAATCAATACCTCACATATTTGATTGTCATCCAGTGACAATATTTCCAGATTTTCCATAGCACAAATCTCTTTAGGGAATTCATCAAAGAAATTTTCACTAAGATCTAATATCTTGATACAGGTTAATCTGGCAAAGGAAGATGGTAGCATTTGCAAGCCAGTGTTTTTCAGGTAAACAAGGCAAAGGGACTTCCAATGGCAAATTTGATGTGGAAACTTTTCTAAGTTGTTACCAGACAGACCAAGCTCATTCATTTCTGTGAGCTGCTTGAAGCTACGAGGGAGCCTACGTAGAAGGTTATTAGACAAATCAAGCACAGTCAGTCTCTGGCAATGATGCAATTTATCAGTGATTGATAACAGGTTATTGAAAGCTAAAAATAGTTTCACTAAGTTTGTCAAAGAGACAATCTCTTCAGGGATAAAACTCACTAGATTTTGTTCCAGATCTATTATTTTGAGATTAGGAAGATGACAAAGCTCCAGAGGAAAACTTTCAAATCTGTTTTTTTGCAGGTAGATCTCTTTAAGTTTTCTCAGATTCACTATTTCTTTTGGCAAGTACCTTAGATTATTGCCAGAGAGTCCAAGCAGCTCAACATGATGGAGGCATTTACAGATCTCCACTGGAAACTCATCCAAGTTTACATCATAGAGCCTGAGCTGACGAAGAGCCCGCAGTTTGCTGATGATATGCAGCGAACTGTAAGAGAGAGGATTGCTACTTAAATCTAAACTCTGAAGAGATTTCAGCTCTCCAAGTTGTTCACATATGTCGCGTATGGAGTTCATATTCAGATAGAGAACTTTCACCTTCTTAAGATGATGGATGTCTCCTGGGATGCTTTCAATTAAGTTTTTTTCCAAGTGCAACTCTTCCAGATTCTCCAGTTCTAAGATGTGTAAAGGGATAGTAGTCTGTTGCTTATTGGCTAAATCAACGAAAAATATCCGATCTGTGACATGTACAGGTAGAGCTTCCTTCTCTAGTTCTTTGGTCATTTGTATTTCCTGTGAAATCTGCAAATTGTCATTCTCAAGATTTGTGGCATCTGTTCTTGAGAAATGAGCATTCATTGTGTTAGTATCCAGGCTCTGCTGAAACTCAACCATCTGTGTTGAAAAATAAGTATATTTTTCACTCTAAAGAGAAAAAAAAAGGAATCAACAATACTCCATCTTTAATTCACTTAAATAATACTAAAAGGAGGATATAGTTCAATATTTAGAGACAGATTCTAACTTCAGAAGTACCCATACAAACTGAAGATGGTGTTACCCACTGACACTGAAAGCTTGAATGAAAGTGAATGACGGCACATTTTGGCCCTTAGTCTATCGGTAAAAGCACAAAGGCCAAGTTCAGTGGATAAAATGCTACTGTCTGTGGAGATGCATCTGCTTAGAGAAGGGTTGAATTTAGTCCAATGAGCCAGAAAATCCTCAGTATAAAATTATATTGGCTAAATTTTGTTCTCAGCTACACCGGTGTAAATTTGGAATAATGGCATTGAAGCTAATGGAGTGACTACAATGTAACCAGTGTAACCAAGAGCAGTCTTGGTTCTATATTGTCAAGTGATTATTTTAAATTGAATAAAACAGTTCTTACGTGGTGTGTTTTGAACAAATAAGACCACTCTTGCAATAAGTTTCATGGGCCAGAAACCTTATTTGGTGTAAATCATCACAGCTCCATTGAGCTATAGAAGTTTTCACCAGCATAGGAGATGTGTTCATATTCTTAAAATGTTTTCAATACAGATTAATTTGGATTTCTCTTCCCAAAAATTGACGTTTCTTCAAAGTATCCAGTTTACTAGAATAGCAGTCAGTGATACCTCCAGGAAATCAGATCTTTTCTATCATTAAAGTGTCCCAATTTTCATAATCTGCTATTGCACTGGAATTTTTGCTTATCTGAGGCATGATCTTGATTTCAGTGGGAGTTGATAAACCTAAGCAGTATCATGCCTTTGTAGGCTCAAAGGGAGCAAAACACTTAACTTAAACCATATGCCTATGTGCTTTGCTAAATAGGAACACGATTATCCACCTTTAAGGATAAGGCTGTTTAAATGCCTTGCTGCATCAGAATCATACAGTTGTTCTATGGATTTTGTGTTACAGGCACCATGTTGGCTATAGTTTTATGTTTATACTTCCCTTAGCAAATGGCCCCTTAACCTCAGCTGAGGCCCCTGACCCTTACAGTATTACATACTTGAATAATATCAGGAGTTTTACAAATGATGTCACCATTTTACATGACATATTACATCTATTGTTTCAGACCAACATAGACAAGGTAAGTGTCTGAATCATATGTATATATGCATTTAAAATCCTAGGATTGCTGAAAGTTACAATAAAGGAATATGGGAATAATAGGAAGAGGAAGTGATTAACTCATGTCTGATGTCTTAAACCTACTAGATTGGATGTCACAATCCCACAAGTCAATGTTCGAAGAGCCGCAGCAGAGAAAGCAATGGGAGGAATAACCAAGAGGGTGGTAACTGACACATTGACCACTACGTCATAATCTCACCTGAAAGGATGTCATAATCCCAAAGATGAGCTGGTTGAAAGCATCACAGGGGAGAGAGGAATGAAAAATATGCAAAACTAGAGGATTTACCAGATGTTTCTCAGGTCTTTGTGGGGGCTTTGGGCAGCAGAGGGGGGTTGCAAGAATGAGGGCTGGTGGCTGGAACGTCTGGAGAGGCTTACCGGAGCCCCCCGTGGTGGCAAGGGCAGAGGTGCTCTAGTGATGCCAACTCCCTGGGATCACACTGTTCAGTCAGTGGTTTCTCTGTGGGGAGCCAGGGCTGTGCTGCCCAGTCCCAACTGCCCAGCCCTGACCATTGGTCCTCCAGTAGGAGGGGGACACTGTGCTGCCCAGCCTGTGGCTCCTCCGGGGATACAGGCCCAAGTCTCCTCTGCTTCTCCTCTGGGGAGGGAGGGAATCAGGGCTTTGCTGACCACCCCCAGCTTGCTTCTCCTCTGGGACGGGGGGGCAGGCGGGGGCAGCAGGGGAGCTCCTGGGATCGACCAGGGGTGCGCTGGCCAGGCTGTCAGGCAGTTCCAGAGGGGCTGCAGTGGCAGGGCCACTGGCTGGTGGGGTTCCTTCCCCTCCAGTTCTGCAGCCTCGGGGTGAGACAGGTATGAGGTATGGGGGCTACTTACCTGGCTGGTAATATGGAGAGCCCTGAACCCAGCTGGCCACTTTCTTCTTGTTGCAGCCGCCCTTCTGTGGTTTCTGTGAGGTATAACTGTCCCCCAGCCTCACTGTTCCCAGGAATCATTACAGAGCATTACTGTCATTGCTCTCAGTCCCCCTCCCTTTCTGTGTTATGGAAAACAATCCTATTTTAGGCACTTTTCATTTTCTCAGTGGTCCTGGCTCTTATTGGTTAGGAGCAGTTCTTGAACAAACGGACTCACAGACAGACAGAGACTGATGCAGAAACACTCTAAAATATAACTTTAAAAAAACAAGTAGTCTTGTGGCACCTTAGGGTATGTCTACACTAGCTCCCTAGTTTGAACTAGGGAAGCTAATGTAGGCATTCAAAATTGCAAATGAAGCCCAGGATTTAAATATTCCGGCCTTTATTTTCATGTTCCCATCTGGTCGCCGTTTTGAAATTCCACTAGCACAAAGTAACTGCCCACGGCTACATGCGGCAGTGAAACGGCAATTCGAACTAAGTGCTTAGTTCGAATTAACTGTTACTCCTCCTGGAATGACGTGTAGACATACCCTTAGAGACCTACAAAAATATGTATAGTATCATGAGCTTTTGTGGGCACAAGCCACTTCTTCAGATGAGATGATCTTGAATGGAAAAAAAGCTGGGTGCGCGAGGACCCATCAAATGCCATGTGCATTGATCAAACTGCACAGTCTCTTCAACAACGGTTTAATGGACACAAAAAAGATATTCTAAATGGTGACACACAAAAACCTGGAGGGGAACAATTTAACCTACCTGGGCACTCATTAATGGATTTAAAAGTAGCCATTCTTCTACAAAGGTATTTCACAAACCAACTACAGAAAGAGAGTGTGGAATTGACCTTCATATGCAGATTTGATACCTTACTTGGTTTGAGCACCAAGACTTGAACTGATTAACATATTATTATATCAGCTTTCCTTACATTCAGCACCCTATTGACATCAAAAGATAAGCACGAGACACTTCCAGCCCACTCAATTAGCCTCATTAGCACCAGGGCTACAATTGATAGGTAATATTTTTCTTTCCCCTCTCAATTCTTATTGTGAGGGTGCCCCCTTTTTTCACCTTAAGATCATTTCATCTGAAGAAGAAGTGGGTTGTGCCCATGAAAGCTCATGATACTATACTAGGAATGTAAGTGAGTAATTGACTAGTCGCTCCTCTCCTCCTCCTCCTCCCCGCCCCCCAACCTTGCTGCCTCTGTCAGAAAGGTAGCAAGGGGGGAAGCAGGAGCTGGTACCGGGGGAGCCAGTTTAAAAGCTGGTTCTCCCCCAGCACCATCTCTGTGGGGGCAGGAGAGGCAGAGGCCTAGGGGGACTGGGCGTGAGCCTGCCAGGTTCTTACAACATTCAAAATGCAGAGGCGCAGCATCCCGGACCAGTACAAGTTGGAACTGCTCGGTACCGGCTTGTGCGGAGTCTAGCAGCCCCTGTTCATATAGAATAGAATTATATGTGCTATCCCACAACTTGTTGGACTTGTTCAGTTGTCATTAGATAAGTGTATTATTCTAATTTCAAAATAAAAAAAATATAGTTCAGAATTAGACCTACTACTCAATTGTTGGTCCAATTGTATGAGATTTGCTATTTCTTGAAATAACTCAACTATAAGGGGGTTCTTTATAAGGCTATCCGGAAAATTTAATTTGAACAGAACAGATATTAGTATGTGCACATGAACGTACACACACACGCACTTACAAGAAAATAAATGTAATTGTTATAATATATAGGGGTAATCAAGCTAAGTGTAACTATGTTTATAGATTCCCTTAAAATCATCAGTATTAACAAATTTTAAAATTTTGGTTTTGAAACCAGTCAGCAGAATATTACTTCTTTTGTTTTAATTTTAATTAATCAACTGAATGTTGTTTGTCAGTCACTGTGTGCCTTCTGTTGTTTGTGATCTGAATTCTTTATATCATAGAATCATAGAATACTAGGACTGGAAGAGACCTCGAGAGGTCAGCGAGTCCAGTCTCCTGCCCTCATGGCAGGACCAAATACTGTCTAGACCATCCCTGATAGACATTTATCTAACCTACTCTTAAATATCTCCAGAGATGGGGATTCCACAACCTCCCTGGGCAATTTATTCCATTGTTTGACTACCCTGACAGTTAGGAACTGTTTCCTAATGGCCAACCTAAACCTCCCTTGCTGCAGTTTAAGCCCATTGCTTCTTGTTCTATTCCCAGAGGCCAAGATGAACAAGTTTTCTCCCTCTTCCTTATGACACCCTTTTAGATATCTGAAAACTGCTATCATGTCCCCCCTCAATCTTCTCTTTTCTAAACTAAACAAACCCAATTCCTTCAGCCTTCCTTCATAGGTCATGTTCTCTAGATCTTTAATCATTCTTGCTGCTCTTCTCTGGACTCTCTCCAATTTCTCCACATCTTCCTTGAAATGCGGTGCCCAGAACTGAACTCCAGTTGAGGCCTAACCAGTGCAGAGTAGAGCGGAAGAATGACTTCTCGTGTCCTGCTCACAACACACCTGTTAATGCATCCCAGAATCATGTTTGCTTTCTTTGCAACGGCATCACACTGCTGACTCATATTCAACTTGTGGTCCGCTATAACCCCTAGATCCTTTCTTGCAGTACTCCTTCCCAGACAGTCGCTTCCCTTTCTGTATGTATGAACTGATTATTCCTTCCTAAGTGGAGCACATTGCATTTGTCTTTATTAAACTTCACCCTGTTTACCTCAGGCCATTTCTCCAATTTGTCCAG